GTAGGGGAACCAGCTTGAAAAGTGACCTCCTCCATCCTCCTTTGCCTCGGCGTAAACTTGGAGGAAGTCGGCTGTATTTTTACGCTGTGGCCAAGAGCTTGCACAGGCTTGGTGTCATCCTCATCCACAACTTCGCGGTCACGTCGCACTTCAAAGGCGCCGACGATGGCATCGGGGGGTTGCTGAAGGCTCTGTCGCGAGAAGCGGAGAAAAGGGGCCAGCGCATTCACAACACCCAAGCCGCAGCCGACTTCCTCCAAGTTTACGCCGAGGCAAAGGAGGATGGAGGAGGTCACTTTTCAAGCTGGTTTCCCTACCGGATCAAGAGGTTCCACATCAAGCTTCTTGAACACCGAGAGATCCCTCGCCCGTTCGTAGATTTGACGGGCATCTCTGGGAGTTCCAAGCTGTACCAGTTCATGGGAGCGGGGGTCCAGGAGGAGGAGAGCTCGGCGTAGGCGTAGAGGTGCAGACAGAGAACGGGGTTCCCCTCGTAGGTGGCGAGAAAGAGGTTGTAGCTAACCCGCAGAGATGGCAGGCGGACGAATCAACCGTTCTGACGTTTCCGACGTCACGAAGCGATACAAGCTACGCGTTCGCCAGGCGTCGTGCTACTGCTCGTGTAGTGTTGGAGCTTACGACGACAGCGTCCCGGCCAAGAAGTACGCGGGGATGGTGGGTATGGTGAAGGCTGTGTCGGGCAAGCACAAGGTTACTCGGACGTCCTGTGGTGTAGGGGATTGAGGGGTGTCCGTGGTGCACGTCATGTTCTCGTGTTTGGCGTCTTGTTCTCTTCCATATTCTTTTGTTTCTGTGGGTAATTTTGTTGCAGGTTTTGTACTTTTTTTGTTGCTGTGTGCTGTTTGTTGCATGTTGCTGTTCATATGCAGCGGCAGGTCGTCTCCCGTTGGCGGTTTGGGATAGGGTCTACAGCAGGAGAAAACAAATATTTGCCGGCGTCTGTGGCTAATGTTTTCACGGTTTGTCGCCGAAATGGGCTGTCTTTTTCTATATACATAATGCACAATATACATTATCTTCAAGCACGTCGGTGAAATAAATGTCCACATATGTCACACAGGGTATTTGCGGTCAATCTCCGCGGTTGTACGCATCAAATAGCCTAAAAAAACGAGCTTGAAAATGGCCTTAAAAACACGTTTTATCGCCGTTTTTCCAATGGGGGGGGGACATTGTAGCCCCATCCCCGTTTTTTTCATACATTCTGCAGTATAAAACACTACANTATACATAATGCACAATATACATTATCTTCAAGCACGTCGGTGAAATAAATGTCCACATATGTCACACAGGGTATTTGCGGTCAATCTCCGCGGTTGTACGCATCAAATAGCCTAAAAAAACGAGCTTGAAAATGGCCTTAAAAACACGTTTTATCGCCGTTTTTCCAATGGGGGGGGGACATTGTAGCCCCATCCCCGTTTTTTTCATACATTCTGCAGTATAAAACACTACATATCGCTGAAACCTCACCATCCCGACGTCGGGTACTCAATTTAACCCGCGGAACTGGGCCTACACCCCACCAAAGCACCCTGACACACTTTTTGGAGCTTTAGTCTTCGGGGAACATCATCAACTGGACCGCTCGACACTCTAGCGCGGAAGGCGTGCTTGGTAATGCAGAGCCGCACTGCTCTGCATTTGATTGGGTAATTGGGTCATTGCCAGAACCCGAATACCAAGTATCACATGCTCGTTAGTAAACCATAATCGACTTCGTAAGTCGCGAGGGAAGGGATTGCTGTACCCTTCTCGCGATAAAAATACCTCAGGCAGGAACCGCAGGAGGGTGTCCACCCCCCCCTCCTATGTTGTTGTTGTTTCTCACATTAGCTCTAAAAAAAAAAAGATTGGGAGCCCGTGGTCTCAAAACCCGGCATACACGACCCCACGAAGAAACAGAAAAAAATAGGGTACAAAAACCACTCGGAAGAGAAACAAAATGATAGAAAGAAAGACCAGCTACCGCACCAAACGAGAAAGAGCGTCGAGGAGACCGATCAAAATAAAATAAAAGGAGAACGGGGAACGCTTCCCACACCCGCCTACAACGCCGGAGGGTTCCGTGCCGGGTTCCCGCCGACCAGGCATATGTGACCCCGGTTGGGTCGTCTAGCTGGTAGAAGTGGAGGATAAGGGTAGAAGTGGAGGATAGGGGCCAGAGGGGCAGACGACAGAGTCCAGTAATGGGAGAAAAAAAAAATAGGCTCAGGGCCCATAGGTAGGGCTAGGCGGGGACGTATTATATAAATTTTCGCGCGGAGCGCGAAAAAACTTGAAGAGGCGTTTGCCCGGTCGGGCTGTTTTTTGGCTGTTTTCTTCCACTCCCCCCGATCCACTGTTTTGGGCATGTCCTTGAAATGTGAGCCGATTTCGAAACGGTTTCTTGCACTGCATTCCCAGGCACGTCTTGCATACCATCCAACTTAGTATTATTGTTGAAAGATGGCAGATGGTGCCGGAAAAAAAAAAACACACACACACACACACACAGCAAGAAGAATGATAGAGAGAGCACTCCTAAACGAAGTCGAGTGCAGGGTGACAGTCTTAGTAGACACGTGCAGTTTTCTTCTGTTATTACTACGGTATCTGTCTTTAATCCTGAGAATAGCGTAGCTCCCCCTACGACGCTCGGTCCCGGGTCCCAGATAGTGGACTATAGAAACATTTTGGGTTTCCCGCCGCACTGAGACTGACGTCTTTTCATTGGTCAGCCGGTTAGCGCGGTCGATGCTAATAATATAAAACCCACACACACATTTTTACAAACATTAAAACACACACATTTTTCCCGCTGGCACTGACGTCTTAATTGGTCAGCCGGTTAGCGCGGTCGATGCTAATAATATAAAACCCACACACACATTTTTACAAACATTAAAACACACACATTTTTCCCGCTGGCACTGACGTCTTAATTGGTCAGCCGGTTAGCGCGGTCGATGCTAATAATATAAAACCCACACACACATTTTTACAAACATTAAAACACACACATTTTTCCCGCTGGCACTGACGTCTTAATTGGTCAGCCGGTTAGCGCGGTCGATGCTAATAATAAATACACACACACACACACACGCACACATCGCCTGGGCAGCCGTGGTGTATCTGATGTCTCAATCGTGGGCCGTTTGTTAATTTCCTTTACCATCCGAAATTCTGGGCGACTGCCGTACAACTAGTGCACTCTTAACTGACCGAACGGCCTTTCGAACCGGTAGACAAATATTTGCTTTTTTTTATGTGTGTCCAGCTCTTCTCGACCCGGCAGTACAGGCTAACTATCACCATCCTCCACGTGTGCGTATGAGCCCTTGCATACATCGCACGGGCAGGGCAGAA